AGAATATTTTTTAAAAATTTTTTCATTATGAACATTTACTAACATTCTTCTCTATCTTTTTTCTAGAGAACGGCTCCCTGGACCTTTCAAAACGAAGTAGATGCAAGGTATGCTTGGGGAAGAGGAATTTTATTTTTTTTAAATTTTTTCGTTAAGAATGCTAGTTTTTAACGTCCTTTAATATCCTTTTTAAAGAACAGCCAATTTCGTGGGCTCTGGACCAGTTCTCTTCGCGAAAATGTTGGAATTCACCTGTTCTTTCACTTTTTTTTGTTTCTGTTATTTTCTTTAACTTTCATCTTTTCTTTTTTAGGTCTTTGACCCTTCTTTTTTTAAGGACCTGGTGATTATCTTTTTTTAGGTTTCGATGGTTCTCTTTGGAAACGAAGGTGTGTCCAGTTTTTACTTTTTCTATTATTTTTTGTTTAATTTTCTATTACTAACATTTATTTATTTTCTTTTTTTAAAATTTCAGACGGCTTGTTTTTAAGGTGTAAGTTTTGGTATCTTGCTTTTTTCTTAAGCTTCCATTTAAAAAAACAATTTTATTCTTTTTTTTTAGGCGAAAAACTTACCAGCGGGAGAGTAATAAAATGGCCACTTTTGAATTCTATAAAACTTTTGATACTGACAAAATAGGCCAGTGGACAGATTCATTTTTTAATCACCTTTTTTTTATATTTATGATTGATAACCTGAGCTTGTTTGGTTTTTTTTCTCGTAAATTTTCCCTTCATCTAAGAGCAACATTTTTTCCACAATTACTACACACTTTATTATCCTTTTTACAATTTTGGCAAAAAAATTTCTTTCTTTCCCGACTTGATAAATTTCAGATTGAGAATAATTTTTGGCAATTATAACATTGACGACTTTATATAATACTTTATTGTATATTATTTTAGCAATATGCTTAATAAATTTATAATGGGATCAAGTGGACTCAAACCACCAATCCCTCCCCTATCAAGGAACTATGCTTTTTAGACGACTTTTTGGTGAGATTTTGGTAAACATTTTTTGTTTTTTATTTATTTTAATGAATGGTTACTTAGTGAGCGATCCTCTTAATGTCAAATTGTACCCTGAAAGCTCACGATTGATTGCACGATTTGGCCACGATTTGATTTGTTTACTATTCGGACACAATTTAATACATTTCAGCAAACGGTATACGATATCAATTCAAAATTTTCCAGCCTTTAAATCTGGGTCTAATAAAGTAATATGAATATGTAAACACATCAAAAATATTTGTTTAATAAATTAAAACTTTTCTATATATGCGAAGACAAGAGTAGACCGCCGAGATTTTGGATTGTCGAGATTTTGTTGTCGATCTTGTGTTAGTCGTGCAAGTGACTTTCGAGATTTTGATCGGATACCGGTTTTTGGTTTTACATAATCCCATATCATTTATAACTGTATTATATTTAGACTTTAAGATGCTATACTTGGACTTAAATGTATTCATGAAACATCGTGATTTGCATATTGGTAATATATTAATCTTTTTGTCCCAATTTAATTTACTATAATTTTTATCCAAACAATTTCGTAAACTTCCACTCTGGATTCTGAGTTATTCCATAAAATCCAATAATAAATTATTGTCTATTTTCACGAATATATTAATAAAATTAACAATTTCAACATTTAATTATCGTTATCATCTTTTATTGCGTAAGCTTTAAAAACTCCGTTTTCTTTTATTTTCATAATTTAAATTCATTGGGAGCAGTAAATTTATTAGAAATAATTTCGTACAAAATATTCCTATGATATTCCTCCGTCCATCCAGCAGATAACATAAAACTACACCGTTTTCCGATACGAAGAAAATAATATTTTTTATTTACCAGACATTATTTAATAACACCATTTTTTTGCAACTGTTAAGACGTTTAATATTAATTAGCAGCGGTTACGGTAATTAACCGACCAGGACTGATATCGGTCGGTCAAAGATGATTATTTGACTGTTTGATCAGATTGTCAGCCCTAAGCGGTCGGTCAAAGCGGTGGTCGATCAAAGGTCCTAAACAGGTTATGGCCGACCGATGACCAACCATAACCGTTGCCATCTCTAGTTAGAACCACTAACACTGGCCAACTTTTTCAATAAAAAATGAAGTTATAACTTTTGTAAATTAATTTTAAGTTTTTCATATGGTTGGATTACATGATTAAGGTCATAATTTTCATGCAGATGTCTAATTTTACACGAAGGACAGTCGGAAGACTATATTTAACGACAATTGAGATCACGTAACGAATTTCATTTGTAAGTTAGATTTTAAGAAAAAAATTTTTTTCAATGTCATTTCATCATATATTATTATTATTTTGGGATTTATTAATTATTTTCATGATTTATACAAGTTTTTTTAAATATTTTTGTTCCGATTTTACAATGGTTTCTGTAATAAATACAACAATGAAATGTTGACTCGCATACTCATTAGTCATTACTCATCCACTATGGAACAAATCAATACTAATTCAAATGAAGTTATTATATTCATTATATAATTATTTATAGGTTCCAAAATTATAAATCATAGTAAAACTCGTGAGTGACACATGTTGTAACATTTATATATGATGTCATTTGCAGCTGAAGTACTTTGTGCATGCTTATTATGCGAAATGTAAAATCATTTCTTAAATGTGTAATTTGTAACTACAACCGCAGTACTATTTATTCAACCTTACTAATTTCGGTAAATTTTTATTTAATCCATAATTTGAGCATAGTTTAACCGCACTTTTTTTACTTAATATATTACTTAAATATTTTTTCTTGTGAAAATAAAAAACTTATCTAATACATCTATTTATTAAAAAGCATTCATAAATTAACTTGAACTTCAATGATAACATTAATGGTATTAAAAAACAAAATGAAGTAATTAACTATTCATTTTTTGTTATAAATTTCTTTGTTTCTCTTTTTTTTTATCACATAAACTCCGATAATGACACGTGACACAAAAAATGGTCGTGAAATAAATGCACCGTTCTTTCTGGATATACTTTTAAAATTATTTTATTTCCCGAAAAAAGAATAGCACTATCGATTTAAAATATACAAATAAAAAAAATTATGTCGTTATTATTCGATAGAGAAGTACCATGCATAATCATGTATATCATATTTATATTTTTACTTATTAATCAAAACAAATATACCATATATTTCCTGGTAAGTTTATTACTCTAAAAGAATATAAATAAATTATAATAAGTTAATCCCAAAACACTCCTGGACTAATATTCGCTAGGATTGTAGCCTTGACAAATGGAAATCAACGCCCAACTCATGATGGTTAACGGAAGGGGAATGAAATATAAACAGAATCAACTTTTTAATTAGTGAGTTAAATTGAATAATTTTTTTTAAAAAAAAATAAAAAATTGTAAGTTAGCATACAAAAAAAAAAAATTCATCTAGTTTCTTATACCTATCACTGTGCGGAAAAAAAATTCATCTAGTTTCTTATACCTATCACTGTGCGGAAAATAAATTACATTTTTTATAATACAAAAGTAGTATTCTATTTTATGTGTGTACATATTAAAAGTAAACTTTTTTTTAATGGTATATTGTGCAATGACTTCTTCCATGAATTTTTAATTAATTCTCCATGATATTTAATTTAGGGATTGGAATCGACTAATCGAAAATCGACAAAACATAGTAAAATCGATTCTCGAGAATCGATTCCCAGCAATTTTTATCATATAAGTTAACCTGACTCCAAAGTAATTTTTCATGCCGGCCAAGCGCTAATTATTTTTGCTGAAATTAGAAACTGATTCAAAGTCAATAAGAAAAATCTTGAAAAGATTCGATTTTCGATTCCAAAATTTAATTAACTTCTTGAATACAAAGAAATATGAACTTTGCTATTGAAGGAGACTGTTGGAGCGAGTCTAGAGAGGACCCCGAAATATACAAAAGAGGTCAAATCCGAGTTTGCGTACAACCAGCCAAAAAAAACACGAAAATCTTTCCTTTTTTAGACAATTCCCGGTGAAAAGATATTTCCTTTTTTGGTCACTCGCCAAAATTATCATAATTCCGGCCCTGAAAGAATGCGTACAGCTATTAGTAAAAATTTTTTGGCTGCCTCTGGCCTTTCTATATATATTTCGGGGTCCTGTCTAGAGGATTATCGTCTTTGGCAGACTAAGCAAAAGAATTAATCATATAATATTGAAGTTTGCAAATATAAAAATTTATATGTTAGAGAATATAATGTTCGTAACTTACAATTCATGTTATTGAACAAATACATTAGATAGTTACGTATTTTTATGTATCAATGTTAATTGTGGGGAAGCCAATTGTTCTAAATAAAAAAAAAAAAATTAAAAATAGATAGAATGCTCAAAATCAAATTTAAAATTTTAAAGCTTTTTATTTGCCCAATTTGAATATAAAAATCGGACATTTGAACGCGCATAAATTATTATTTAACGCAAATCGTCAAGCATAGTATATTAGGTTGCGTTTCACTCATGCGGAATTTTAAAAATTCGAAGGTTAGCTATATTGTTAGTTTATATTTTAATTGAAAGAATTAACAGCTCGTAATTTTTAAGTTTGTCACGAATCTTTTTTTTATGCTGCATATACATGAATAAATAATTATTATAGTTGAAATTTATTATTATTTTTATTGCACAGGGCTATTAGTACATGCTAGCCAGCTAGTGGGTTCTAAAATAAATTAGAAACACATGACAATTATTATTAAAAGAAGAATACAAAAAAATAACGATCATGTGATTTATGATCCGCCTCTTTTAAAAAGCGAATCACAAATTTTTGCGTTACCAACATGAATATGATCAACATACATTGTGCAACAAAAACCGGAATCGGCAACCCGAAAAATGGATATATAGTATTTTAATACCTTTTTTGACCTTAATTTTAAATCCCCCTTTTTCTTTTTTTTTTTTTTTTTTACACTCCCGTTCATAATAAAAATATGGCATGTTCGAAAATATTTTCAGGAGATTTACCTGAATTAATATACGAAATTGTTCGATATTTTCGGAATGATTATAAAATGTTATATTCGTGTATTTTGGTTAATAGATTATGGTGTCGTTTAACAATTCCATTATTGTGGGAAGATCCATTTTCAATCGCTGTAGAAGATTGTAATTATTATTACTTAACTGAAAGTTATGAACTTAAAAATTATGATTTTATCGGAACTTATTTATATAATTTAAATGACGAAGATAAAACAAAATTAAATGAATATGGAATTGATAATAGCGTATTTCCTTTAAATACATTATTTAATTATCCTAGTTTTATTAAATGTTTAAATACACAAAATCTTAGTTTTTCTATTGAAGAATGGATTAATATTGTTGGTACCATAACAAATGATGAAAGATCTCCTATTTCACCTAATGAAAATCCACTTTCAAATCCAATTTTTGATCAAAATAATATTTTTTTATCAAGATTTATTTTATTATCATTAATTAAAATATTTATTGAAAATGAAGTTAATTTATATACTTTTGAACTTGAAATTACAAGTACTTTAAATTCTGATAAAGAATATTTTAATTCAATTTTTAAATTAATTTTACAAAATCCGAATTTAATTTGTAATATTAAAAATTTAAAACTTTATTTTAATGAAACAATTACAAATGTAGCATTTTTAAAATGTTTATATTATAATTGTAATTCAATTTCTTCACTTTATTTTCGATTTAATGATAATAATAATAATATTAATAATGAATCTATTACTGAAAGTTTATCAAAAATTATTAATTCACAACAAAATATCAAAAAAATTTTATTTGAAGATAATGATTATCCTTTAATTATTTTAAAAAATTCTAATTGTTCAAATACTTTAAAAACTATTATATTTTATAATATAAATTTTAAAAATGTTTTTATTATAAAAGAAGTATTTGAACAATTAAACGTTTTAGAATCTGTTCATATTATTCATTGCCTTTCTTTAAATACCAATATTATTAAACAAATTATTAGTATTAATGGACCTTTTAAATTAAAATCCTTATTTTTGAATGAAAATGTTGTATTAAATATAGATTCTATGAAATTATTATTACAAAAATCTGGTAATTATTTAAAAAATATTGGATTTGAATTATTAATAAGTAATGAATTAAAAGAACAATTACTTAGATTAATTATAGAATATTGTGCGTATATTAAATTTTTTAAATTACATGGGTACGATAATCAAAACATTTATTCAACTTTTGGTTTAATTGAAAATCTTGGACAAAATCTTAATTATCTTTCTATTAATTTTTGTAAATTTCTTATTTACGATTATGATTACTTAAATGATGATAGTGAACTTAGTTCAATAGTATTAACAAATTTAGGTCAAGTACTTCCTTTTAATTTAGAATATTTGAATTTATCTCTCAAGATTAATCCAAATGATTTAGTAACATTTTTTAAAAATTCTCGTAATACTTTTATTAAGAAATTATTGATTAGAAATAAAATGTTAGATGATAGTGAAGATATTTTACCAATTATAAAGGAACATTTAATGAAAGAAAAAAGGATTAATTATTTAGCTATTGAAGAAGTTTTTCTTGATAAAAGGGAAGAATTGTTTTCTTTAAAAGATGAAGTTAAAGAATTTGAATTATATAATATTAAAGTTCTATGCTATGATGATTTAGATATACAAGTTTATGAATTTGTAAAAGAAATGGATTAATATTTTTTAGTTTTTTAATATATAATTATTTCTATGTAAATAAAGGACATTTTATTATTATACGTAAATAAAGCTTTCATAAATTTTATATTCATTCATATTAAATAGAAAAAAAAATTTCATTTTATTATATATAAATAAAGCGATCATACAAATTTTTTAAATTCTTTACAACAAACATAAAAATTATGTTATGATACCTTGAATTCAAATTATAAGATTTAATAATACTGAACGTTACAATCCCGAAATTTGAAATCCCGATAATTTATAATACTGAAATGTAATTTGCATTCAAAGATATATCATTAAATCCTAACACTTTATAATCCAGTAAATTCAACGGTCATATCTCGAAACACATGGAAAATCCGTAAATTCATATATCGAAAGTCATTATACTTTTTAATATTCGCATATCACTTTTTTATTTAATTTGAAAATTTAATTATGTAATTATATAATTGGTGATTATTTTATTTCTTTTTTTTGTAAAAAAAAAATAATAATAAACAAATTTCGTTATTTATTTACTTGTTTATTTTATCATAATAAATTCTGAATTTTCGTCGTTCGTTTATTTTTTTTCTCGCAAACAAATATAGATGATTTATGAACCAATCAGATTTAGAGTGATTGATAAGGAAATCTCCGAAATCATCATAGATCATCTACGGAATAGTCGGAATGGTCTAAGTTGTGAAACAAAGAATAGTAATATGACATTATTGTGAAACAATTATTTTCTTTTAAGGTTTTTTTATTTATCATTACTAATATGTCAATCATTTAAATTGGTAGTACAATCAGCTCTCGATATAACGAACCCAAAAGATTATAGAAAGAATTGAATTGGCTGATTCGTTATAACAAGAGATATTCGATTGGTTAAATGTCACGTGCTGGGAAAATTTCGAGTTCGTTATATCAAGAGTTGCTGTGTAAAACTATACATGTGCAGTACAATAAATATATAGTACATTCGAAATATATATTATATATAGACTATTGACTTTAATAGTAGAAGTTTTAGGTAATAAAATTTTTACCCACACTTTTTGACCTTTATTTTCTTCGGTGAACGAATATTATTATTTAAATTGTTAACATGATCTTACTGATAATCCTTATCATTCGCAAAAAATATTTAGCCGTTCAAAAAAGAATCCGAATTACACATTTTTTCCTTATAAATTATTGAATCACTCTTTAAATAAAACCCTATAAAAAATTTTATCCGTTATTTCTGTAAAAACTCCGTAAAAATGAGCCTTTCCCGGATCCATTCACGGATAAATAAATCGATAAATTCCGTGATATAAGATTATTAATTCCGGAAATATGAGCCTTTTACGGAAAAAAAAATGGAATATAAAAAACAGATCGACTTGTTTTACAGGGAAATGGACGCCTCAGATCACTAGCAAATTCATTAATAGTGGTTTATTCTCCTAATGATGGCGGAAAAAGTTAAATCAGCAATAGGCAGCGTTAAATAAAAACAATAGACTAAAATAATTTATCAAATAGAAACTATTAAAAGTTCAGAAAAGATAATTCTAGAGTACCATATTTCTTGTTTTTTAATTTTATGTTCGAGAAAAGCTCGTATCTCTTATTAGTTATAAACTGACGACGGATAACTCATGCATGTAGACTGTTTGGTGGATCGGATTTATTTCTTCGCTAAAGTAAGTTTAGAATATATTTGTTTTATGAAAATATTTTGTACGATCTATCAATAAAAATGGAGTTATTTTAAACTCCAAAAAATCAAAAAACTCGATTATTGGTCATTTGTTTTTGTTGTAAAAGACCTACATCAATAGGTTACAATCGTTAGGTTTAATTCAATTTTTAAATTACTTAATGAAAGAATTGGAATAACAAAAAAAGAACGATTACTTAATAAAAGAATTGAAGAACGTATTAAGCCTCATTATTAGTGGTCTAGTTGTGGAAAGATTAGGAGCTTACGTAAATTTATAAATTAATTCTATAACGAAATTTTTATTTTTATTTTAAAATAAGTAATTATTTGTTTCTTGATTTTCATACGATTGCAGTTACCTTTACTACTATGTACTGTGATATTTGTGAGGATCAACAATTAGCGCCACCTGAATTTATTGATGCAAGGGGAACGGTTGTACTTGTTTTAAATTACGCCAAATTTCGTTATTTGTATAATTGATATTGACAATTATTATATTTAAATAAGCATTAACCGTTTAAGTTATTTATGAATAAAACCTTTTCTGACGACTTTCTAAATATTTATTTTTCCGTGATTTTAAATCGGATTAATGATGTCATCTTTTTTTAGAACGTACAATCTAAGAATTTAATTCTGAAATAAATAAATAAATAAATTATTATTGAAGAAGTTTAAAAACTTATTAACCGAATATATATATGTATGTGGATTTATTTACCTTGCGAATATTTATTAATTTTATGCATTTGAAATATTATTAGTTTAGATTTAAAACTTAAAAAAAAAAAAAAAAAAATTATTATAATAATAATAATTTTTACAATTTTTTTAATATTATTCAAAAAATTGATATTATTCAAAAATTGATTTTCTTGATACATACAGTAATTGCTTTTATTGGTCAGAGCAATTATTTATTTACTATAAACATATTCCCGTCTAAATACCTGATCGACCATGGAATTACAAATAGCCATCTGGACTAGATCCCAAGTTGCCGGTAGCCCCGGGTTTAAAATTATAAGGATTAACCATTTGCATTATAATCGTTGATATAATGAACTTGATGTTCAGTCATTGATCGGTTCGAATCAATGGTGGTTCCAGGCTCGAGAAAATAATAATAAATAAATGATTGATCGAAATTTTAATAATTGATCGATCAAACTTAAAATGTTATATTTGATAATGTAAATAATTTTTTTTTCAATATTTATACCGATTAGCATACTTTTTATAGCGATAAAAATTTTATTTCACATCATTTGTAATTCTTGGTATAAATCTTGCGGTTGAAAAAAAATATGAACCAGTTAATGATCCTATTTTCATTAAAAAATATTACCATAATTAATCATAATTATAATTAAATATATTAAATAGAATAAGTAAAAAATATGCCTTGATCAAATGATTCATGTGATCAATTAAACGTGATTTACATGATCCGTGAATGATATAAATGATATAAATAAACGAAATTTTGCTTTTATCGGACATAATTAATGTATTTGTATTTAAGGATAAAAAATGTGGATCGTAATTATTAGCGATAGAAAACCAAAACGGGATCCGTACAAAATCCCGAATGTCAAAATCCCGAATGGTACGAAATCCCAAAAAATTGGCCAGCATTAAGCATAATGCTGCCTGGTTCGGGATTTTCGGGATTTTGACATTCGGGATTTTGTACCAGACCCAAAACTATAGAATTTACCGGAAATGTGAAATAACTTGCGCAGTCTCGTATTTATGACCTAATCACGTGAAAGCATGTCATATTTTTGGTATCAGGACATTTTGCCGAAAGCCATTTTGCCGAAGCCATTTCGCCGAAGGTATATTTCGTCGAAGGGATGTTTCGCCGAAGAGACATTTCGCCGAAGGGCCATTTCGCCGAAGGGACGTTTCGCCGAAACCCATTTTGCCGAAGCCATTTTGTCGAATGGCTATTTCGCCGAAAGGACATTTTGCCGAAACCCATTTCGCCGAAGCCATTTCGCCGAAAGAACGTTTTGCCGAAACCTTTGGAAATCTGCGTTTCTTACATAGGTAAATCGGTCAATTTTTAGCCGAATTGGCTGAAATTTTTACTGAGAAAACTCTGACATTGGATCTATTTTATTCAAGTATTAAATTGTAACATTTGTAAATCTTACAATTTCACAAATAATTCTTAAAAAAAGTTGATAATTGGAAAAATTAAAAATTTTTTTTTACAAAATAAACTGTTAGCCTTAAAATAGGATAATTTTTTATTTTTTTTATATTACTTTTTTTTAAAAAATCCATTAATATACGTTAAAATGTATATAAATATAAATTATGAGCCTTCTGGTTCACACTTTATTAATAAGAAATTGCAAGGCATTTTTACTATAATTTTGTTAATTAACAATTATTTTTCCAGAATTATGAATATCCAGAAGTCCACTTGCAATTTGTTGTAATTTATCAATTTTTGAATAATAATCTAATTTTTTATTCATATAGTAATTTCTCAAATTTCCATCTTTACAGTATTGTAAAACCATCATATAATCTTACATGAATTACGAATTAAGGTTCATGAAGAGATTAAGAGATTAATAAATAAATAAAAAAAAAATTATTTTCATGATTGCACGATTAATAATTTTATAAAAGTAATATTTCTATCATTTTCGGCTAAATGGCTTTCGGCGAAACATCTTTTCGGCGAAATGGCTTCGGCAAAATGGGTTTCGGCGAAACGTCCTTTCGGCGAAATGGATGATTCGGCGAAACGGCTTCGGTGAAACATCCTTTCGGCGAAACGTCTCTTCGGCGAAACATCTTTTCGGCAAAACATCCCTTCGGCGAAATGGCTTCGGCGAAATGGGTTTCGGCAAAGTGGCTTTCGGCAAAACGTACCGTAACCCATATTTTTTGCTGATATTATACCATTTTCGCTTTGTACAAAAATCATTACTTTTACCACATCTAATAATTATTAATAAAGTCTTGCCTAAATTTAGGATTTGAACTTTAACGTAAACGATGTGTATTAGGATAATGTGTCACTACCAGCAATTCTGTACAGCAACCACAAAAAAAAATCTCTTACGTTATGATATGACGCGTGTATATGAAGATCAATTGCTTCTTTTTGCTCAATAAAGATTTATGACATAATCAATCTTATTTTAGTATTTGTAGTAGTAACATCTGTGACGTTGTATATTTGTGTGTAAGAATTTTTTATTTGTTCATAGATGATGAAAAGTACAATTGTCTGGAGTTTCTTCAGGGACATCCGATTTTT